TTGATTTCAAAATCTGATTTCAGTTCTGATTTCAAATTCTGATATAAAAAAACTGATTTCAAAATTGATTTAACTACCTTATTTGGGTCTTGTTCATTTTGTTCATTTTGTGGACCAACTGGAATCGATATTTCCTAAAAACAAAACACAAAACAAAAAAAAGAAAAAGAAAGTAAGAACATGTTGATACCAAATACCTCAAACAAATATAGATAAATGCATTATTTGCTCATTTGTGGAATGAGCAACAAATTATTTGCTCATTTAACAAATAAGCAATATTTGTACCTATTCTATTCTACAAGCAAAGGCAAGATTTGTACCAATTCTATTCTAAAATCAATTCCAAAGGCAGAGAAAAGCTAAGTAGATGTCCTAAATAATTAATATTAATTATTTGAAAGTGACATACTAGTTTTGGTTGTTTGTTGCAAGAAGGACCAACAACCTTCAGATTTTTATCAACAAGTCCAAGCTTCCCCTTATAAATTTCCAATTTCTCACGACTAGAAAACATATTGGTTGTCCAACCTTTGAGAATTGGAGTTTCTCGTTTGGCTCTAACATCCTCAATAAGAAACTGATCAACATATACAAGCTACAAACAAGTAAGATAAGAAAAATTAGTACATCAAAATTAAACAAATAAATAACAATTAATACATAAAAAATAAAAAAAACAACTTAGAAAATACCAGCCCCACCCCCTACCGCCACCTGCCTACACAAACATGTCCCCCCTCCCCCTGTCCTTGGTCACATTTCAATTCAGTAGCTGATATCAATTCTTATTTCAAATTTTGATTTCGGAAACTGATTTCTAAATCTGATTTCTAAATCTAATTTCAAAATATGATTTCAAATTCTATTATAGGTTGTATGTGCGTGTGTGTATGTGTATGTGTGTGTGTGTGTGTGTGTGTTCTTGTTTAAGAGAGGAAGGGGGGGTGCAGAATTGCAGGGGATCCTGCTCTTTTTCAAACAATATCTTAGAATGATTATTTCATAAACTCTGTCAGATGACAAATTAAAGAAGAGATAAAAAATACCATAAGATGTAACACATAAAAAATAAAGAAAAGGTAGAAAATTCCATAAGAAATAAGAGATAAAAAAATACCATAAGATGCAACACATAAAAAATAAAGAAAAGGTAGAAAATACCATAAGAAATAATAAAGATCCTGGAAAGTATTGAGTAGGAAGCTCATCCCATTTCATCTTCGCCTTCACAAGAGAATCAAGGATAAACTTCGACCAATTTAAATCCTTGATTTTATCAACATTAGTCAAATATCTGAGAATGTTATGATTAACATTCTTGTTTTGTCCTCCTGACATAAAATAACAAAATTAAATTAAAATGATCAAACAAGAACTAAAATGAGCAAAATGAAAGTAAAATGAGCAAAATGAAATTAAAATGATCAAAATGAAAGTAAAATGAGCAATATGAAAATGAAAAGACTACCTATCATTAAAGTGGAAACACAAAGAACTACAAAATTGCGTTTGAACATTGGCCCAGCTGATTTATGGTCCTTCAAATACATTGAAAGCTCCCCAATGTTGACAGATAATGAGTTCTTTTTGAACTGTTTTTTCCATTAGGTAATGACTTTTGTCATCCTTTGAAAAAACATTTGCATCCATCTCTATGCCTCCAACTGGCAGCCCTAGGACCTCATGTACATGTTGGTCAGTAATTTTGAAAGGCTCGAAATCAGGAATATTCAAGGAACAACTCTGAGCATCAAAGTGCTTGACCAACCAAAAACCCAACTGCAAAGGCAGTTGGGACACCTTCAAAAACTCCAAGGACCCAAATCCTATAGCTCTAATAGCAATCAACTGATCTTCCGAAAGCTTCTTAACAACATTAACGACAGATGAAGGCGACATCCTATTATGGAACGTCCCATAAACAACAGACTTCGATCCTTGCACTTCATCAACAGCATCCCCTAGATTCAATCCTCCATCTTCACCATCAGGATCCTCGAACTTCACATACTGTTTTTCTTTCACTCCTTTTTCAACCTCTTTTACTTTACCCTTAGTAGCGACTGATTTTATTAATCTCTTCTGATTGTTTTCTGATTTTATAGATGCACTGAGCTTCTCAGACTCTACAACCACTACAGCCCCTGATGAACCAACATCGGCAGCACACTCCTTTTAATTAGAGTTCCTGCTCATACAAAATCATAAAAAAAAAAAAAAAGTAAAATATCATATAGATTTTTTTTTGGAGGTGTAGTGAAGAGGATACTTTATGGGAGGGTCTAGAGTATGTTATGATAGAGAAGCATAGGCTAATAAATTATCTAATGAACAATTGTCAAATGAGCAATCAATATTTTGCTTATTTAGCAAATGAGCAAATAGTTAGTTGCTCATTTGTTAAATGAGCAAATACTTAGTTGCTAATTTAACAACTGAGCAAAAACTTAGATGCTCATTGTTAGTTGCTCATTTGTCAAAAGAGCAAACATTTCTTTAATCATTCATTAAATCAGCAAGCATTTCTTTGCTCATTTGTGAAATAAGCAAATAATTAGTTACTCATTTGTAAAATAAGCAAACATTTCTTTGATCATTTGGGAAATGAGCACTCAGTTTTTTGCTCATTTAGCAAATGAGCAAATAGTTAGTTGCTCATTTGTCAAATAAGCAAATACTTAGTGCTAATTTAACAAATGATTGTAACTCCAAACAGAACATATATTTCATCAGATATGCTATACAAAATCAAAAACCTGATATTTCATATATGAGCAACAAAACATAAAATGAGCAAGTTTTATCCAAACAATAATTATTATACTGACCAAGAAAACATAAAATGAGCAAATAAGAAAACACGTACATTTTCCTTTCCAAAGGTACATCCGTAGAATCTTTAGCATCGATAGAATCAATAACATTAGTAGAATCAATAGCAACCGAAGAATCCATAGCACTGAACAGTTCTGCAATTAAAAAAAAAGGTAAAAAAAACCCGAAGAAAATGTAAGCTAACTAAAACAAAGGAAAAATCAAACTAAAATCAAGTTAGTAAAAAAAAAACCACTCGCAGTCTTGCACAAAACCAGAAACCTCAAGCAAGGGTTGTTATATGGTTTCCCCTGCATGAAAGGCTACTAACCTACAACACTAAATAGGGGTTACAACAAGTCAACAAGAATAAACTTGGACTTGTGTCAAGCACTATCCACACATCACCTGAGTGGCTGAGTGTTTTATTTCAAAGTTTTTCTTATAGTTTGAGTGAACACAAGATTTAGGAATACTGAGTTCAAGAAGTGGCAAAAATAGGAGAGAGAAATTACAATAACCAATACTATTCATACAATAGTCACAAGACTCACCCGCAATCTATTTGGCACGTTGCATCCTATGCATAAAAAGTGTGTCGCAATATTGTTTTCCTTAGCAAAGACAATTCATTACAAGAATTAACCTAAAAGAATGACAAAGCCTACCAAATTCCTGAACTTTATGCCTCCAAGTTTATTTAACATATATGAACATAATAGAAACACGACCCTATGTTCAGAAAGTCTTACAAATATAGAGGTTACAAATGAGCTTGCAAGGACACTTGGCTACCTTAGTATGTCAAGAATTTTCAGATTTCGTGGTTAGAGAACAATAAAATTTAGGTCGAGTTGTTGAAACAATTATGCCATCTTCACAGAATACGTGTATGACAACGAAATCGAACACCAAAATATTCAGAAAATTGATGAAGAAATTGAAAAAATCGAAAACAAACTGATAAAATTAAGCTGAAATAGTCGACACAAACTGATACAATTAAGCAAAAAAATTAATCACAATTGAAGAAATTAAGCCGAAAAATCAAACAAAAATCAAGGTAAAAACTCAAATAAAAAATAATTACTCAAATCAAACTAAAATCAACTTAATAATTATTCAAATAAACCTAAAATCAACATAATAGCACAACTTATCAGTGATTTCTAGGTTTCCAAACAAACAAAAAAAAACTGGAAAATAACGAAAATTAGGCAAAATAAAACTAAAAATCAACTTGATAACTACTAAAAAAAACTAAAATCAACAAAAAAAAAACAAAGTAAAACATAATCGACACAAATAATAAACAATGTGAGCTGAAATCAGCGAAAATCAAACGAAAATCAACGATAAATGTAATTGAATGTGACCTAAAATTAATTGAAAAACACGAAAAATATAAACAATAAACTCACTTTGACGAAGAATTGATGAAAATTGAAGTAGTGATGAAAAATCAGAGAGAAAGAGAGTTGAAAACAGAGAACTTGAACGAGGAGAGAGAAAATAGCGCGTGAAAGAGGAAGGAGGAGAAAGAAAAAACGTTAGAATTTGTTTTCAAATGAAATTGTTTTGTTTGACCGGGATTAATTGTGACCGTTAGATGTAATTGATCCAACGGTTATAATGAATCCTCACATATAATAGGGTTCTCACATAAGGGATGTGGTCTCATATGATCCCATTTATTTATATATATATATATATATAAAGTTTTTGGGTATTTCTTAAAGGTCACATGGAAGACAAGCAAATCAATGCTGAAACTGTGAGGTCAATGGTAAGAATAATTCGGATAAAAGTCCTCTCATCACAAACAAAATCCTATAAAAGGTCACTTATTTTGACATTATTTTTAAATGATCCTTTAAGGTCCTTTATGACAAATATTGTCTTACATGTCTAAAAATTGGAGGCAAGCTTGTTATGGAAAAGACATACGTACATTCTAATTGCAAGAACCGAAGAATAGGCAATTCTCAGTTACAGAATTTTCAGGAGCTTGGAAATTTTGACCCTGAAACGAGTTAGAAGCAAAAGTTGCTTCCACCAGTTTAATACTTTAATTACAATCATATTAAAGGTTTCTCTTAAAAACTTAGCAAAGGAGAACTACATAGTTCTTTTAAAGGGGAGAAGAAAAAAAGAGGAAAAAAAAAAAAAGAAAAAATCTCATAAGAAGAAAAAGAAACAGTAAAAAACTGTATCTACAATTATTGATTAAAGATGTAAGCAATAGCTTCGTATAAGAATTGATTACAAATAACAGATGAATTGAATTTCCTTCACACCTTCACCAAGTAAAAAGGTATAAATACAAAATACAACAACAAGAGAATGGCTTTTCATTCTCATGCGTAGAGCTCGCAATTTCTAGATCTCGAAAGAAACCATGTAATTGACAAACAAGAAAGAAAGGAGCAAATTGAGGGTAAAAAAGAAACAACACAATTTAATTCTGTTGTTGCTGCAGCTTTTTTAGCAATTCCAATAATGAAGTGGCTTTCCTCTTTGCTCTCTCTGTGCCACTCTTAGTAATTTCTGTTAAAGGTATGGCGGCACCTAGCCTACTCAAAGACGTGAGATTCTCCATATCTCTCTTACACAACGCAAGCAGAATAGCTGCAGCATTCTCCTTGTTCCTTGGGAGACCTGTTCTTAAAAGATCAATCAAAACGGGTATTGTGCAGGCCCTAACAATGACGAGCTTAGCCTCTTGGTGACCAGCAAGAACGGAAAGTATTGTCAAAGCCTCATCTACCATGGCACCATCAGATTCTGTAAGCATCTTCATCAATGCTGCAATTATCCCAGCTCTCACAGCTCTGCCTTTATTACCCTGATATATGCACAAATTAAAAAGTGCTGTAGCAGCATCTTTCTTTCCTCTGGGACTTCCGTTTTGGAGCAAATTTACCAATGCTGGTATCGCTCCAGAAGCACCAATTATTATTTTGTTTTCATCTGCAAGCGACAAGCTAAAAAGGGTCGCCGCTGCATTTTCCCTCGCTTCCATGCTCCCATTGCGGAGGACTTGTACGATGGACGGGATTGCCCCCGCTAGCATTATTAGTTCCTTGTTATTTTCATAAATAGAAAGGTTGAGAATGGATGTAACTGCATTCTCTTGGGTTAGTGCATCATCATTTGTTAATAGGTTTACCAGGACAGGGATAGCTCCTGCTTCTGCTATCAGTATCCTGTTATCTGTACTTCTTTTAGAAAGGGACCGGATTTCTGCCACTGCGCCTCTACGTTCATCTACCAATCTGCTAGAAAGCTTACGCACAAGGACCTGAATCGCTGCAATATCTCCACTTACATCACGGAATGACCCATCGCTCTTCTTAATTTTACCAGTCATTAAGGCAGTTGGCTGCTCAATATTGTTCTTAGAACACCATTGATAAATCAAACTTCTTAAGACATAATTTGGTGTTAGAGTGTTGTGTACGAGTTTTTGTTGAGTTTTTGGACAAGTCATGTTGCCAGAATCAATCCATCTTTGTATGTAAGATCGCTCATAGGTCTGCAAGTAATACTTATTATCAATACGCCAGTAAGATATACCAGATCTCCAACAGAAGCTAAAATGAAGAAGACGAGTAAAAATAAACCACGGAGCAACATCAGGTATCTATATTAGAAGATCTAAAGACAGGGTGATTTGGATGGATATAATTTTACAAACAAAAATAAATAAATAAAATAAAAGGGCCCTTTCAAGATTATTGAGTATAAATGAGGGCTATCACGCTATGTTACCCAAACTCATCAATAAGTATCAGATGTGGGTATATGAGCTTTCACTTCAGATTGGCCAAAACCTAGTGGTCCTAGACCATATGTCCAAAGGTAAGATGAAACCATCTTATCAGAACTTTGTTGATTTTAGTCCAAATTAAGTGGCCAAATGTAATACCCATGCCGAGTATCCAGAACAGATTCTTGAGATAAAATGAGGGGAAAATGAAAACCATCAAAGGCTTCATTAGAATCCCTCGGAGAGGAGAGAAGGGAAGGGATTCTGAAAAGCTTTACCCTCTTACCACAAAAGGTTTTAATACAAGGCATAAGAAAAACATTGGCATGCAATTCATTGTACTATTCCCTCTTAGAAGAACCAAACTTGAGAAACCCATGCCAATTTTGATACTCAAAAGTCTTATAATATAATCTAACCCTTATGCAGGGTGATAGCAGGGTGACTTTTCACAAGTAAATACAAAATTATTTTATGAATCCACCCTTTAACAACGCTTTAAGTTTTAGGTAATCGAGGGGTAAGCAAACTCAACCACCACTCCAATAAAGGACCACTTAATCAAGCACCCAATTCATTTCCACCACCTCTCACTATGAAATGGATGGCTGCTACCATTGTTTCAGTGTCATGCAACTCATGTCTTGATTACCAATATATTCCTGTCACCACCACCTTGACTCCTAAACTCCAACAGCAATTATTTATATTTGCACCGACCAATATCATTAGTAAGTATGACGAGGGATTGATGGATCCTTCCTACACATTAACTGTTATATGCCATGCTTGCAGCACTGACCAAGCTTAATATTAAAAGAAGAGTAGTAATGTAGAAAAGAAATCCACCATCTAGAAGAAAGTGCAATCACAAATTAACAAATAGCTTTACATTTCTGTTATGGACAAAGATACGTGATTCTCTTGGAGATCACATTTGGCCACTAAGGTTTATAAAATCTCAAGAAAGGTCATCTAATTAGACTGCTGAACAGCAAAATCTGAAAGTAACTCTCAAATAAACATTCTAATGAAAGGTATTGTGAATACGACAGACATGTGTGGTTGTGGAAGCTGGGTGACACTTATTGTGATGAAGATATTAACTATTCAATTAAGGTTAATGAGTGGTAGTTAAAACAGAAAAGAAGAAAAGGTGACGGAGTACAGAAAAAATTTATAACAGTGAATTAACGGAAAGTGATGAGAGGCTTTGAGAATACTAATAATGAGTAAGTTGATGGAAAGTATGACAATTTTTAAAGGACGTTCCATACATATTCATTCTTTTACTAACAGGCATTAATTCAAGCAGGTTTGTTTTTTATTGGTCTTCCTTTAATCATAGATCTTGGCTCAATTGAACCTGCAACAAGTCTAGTAAGATTTCACAGCATTGATAAAATACCTGTCCTGTAGCCACAATAACAGGATCTCTCATTATTTCAAGAGAAATCGGACAGAGGAAATCTTCAGGAATCGATACAGACTCCGGTTTACTGCTTTCATCTTGATTTTCGACAGAATATTCATCTCCTTCTTCAGCAGTATTAGATGCACAAACAGATGCTGACGTAGAGGAAACTTCCACCCTTAGTGAGACTTCATGGGAATCACTCGTTGAAGAATTCCCTGGTCTACCATTCTTGACCTTCCGTTTAAATTCCTGATCAATATTACCTATACTACCCAAATGCAAACAATCAAACCCTTTATTGCCTGATTGCAGCATTTCCAATTCATTTAGCAGAGGCTGAGATGCAGCGCGACTGATTTTGCTACAACTGAGTGGACCGCCATATCTTTCAGTAGCTCGTTTCAGCTGCGTTCTAACCAACTCAACCTACAAAACCATACGACATCAAACCCCACGATAAATTCAATTCATGCGTTACACATAAACACACGACACATCAAACTCGGTTTTATACCTGCTCCTGAACCTCCTCCGAAACACCAAACTGTTCATACGGAATGTTTGCTAACGCCTTCTCCAGTTTCCACGTTACGCACTGAAACTGAAACGCAATTCTCTTGGTGGCACCATCCTTCATTAAACAAAAACAATATTCACAATTTACTCATTTTAACAGCAAAAAATTACGATTAAATCCCAAATTTCCCGATTAATAATACATAAATCGAGTAAAGCTAATACTTCAATCGAACAAAGCTAATACTTTCATCAACCATATAAAAATTAAATACTTAATTAAACACTGCTAATCTATATAACACAAAATTTTCATTTCCCATTTAACTATTACTCCGGTAAAAAATATTGGCATCCAAATTATCGTATTGCTTAATTTAGCAAAAAACAGGCAGAATCATAGGAAAGATTTTAGCAATACATGATAAACTTTCTAGAAAAAAATAATTTAACAGCTCAAAAAATCCAAAAAAAGCATGTAATAATAAACCAATTAACAATATAAACAGAAAACTAAAATTAAAATTGAATACCCAATTCGAAAAAAAATAAATTAAGATGATCAGATCTAAACTTACTTCATTGGGATCGAAGCTGGAAGCAGCCAAAAGAAGTCTTCTAGAATCTTGAAGAGAGAGAAACAAATCGAAAAAAGAGGAAGATGAAGAAGAAGCAGCAGCAACAGATTCCGAAGAATGAGGTGTATAATCACGGATCTCTTCAACCAAATGAGATAACAAAGAAATTCTACGGCCTAAATCAGTGCAATCTTTCTTAAACAAATCGGTGAATCCGCCATTACTGGAGATTCTGACAACGTCGGAAATTACAAGGTCGAGATTCTCGGCGAGCTCACCGTCCATGGGAGGAGGAGGGGAGGTGGGGTCCGCCATTAGAGGAGAGAAGGAAAGAAGGAAGAGAGGTGAGGAGAGAGAAAATGAGAGGTGGAGAGGAAGAAGAAGGAGGAGAAGATGCACATGGTGTGGTGGGGTCGGGGGTTTAGTGGGGGGGGGGGGGAAGAGAAGAAGGGAGAATGAGGAGGAAGATGTGATGTTATGAAGAAAAAAAGGGTGGCCGAGATTCTCGGGGGTGTAATGGAAATTTGGAGTATGGAGATGTGGAGGAAGTAATTAGTATCGCTGTTCGGAATTAATAGTCACGTTGAGGTATAAAAGTGATACGAGTAAAATTATGATCTTTATTTCGACTCTATAACTTGTATGTTTTAAGTTTTAACCTTAATCAACCTCACCATTAATTAGTGGTGTTGTTTGGAATTAGTAGTCACATTGTTATTTTTGTAGATTGATTAAATCTGTAGGGATGTGCTTAGGTAAAAGTGATAATGTACATGTAAGATCTTTATTTTGACTATGTAATTTGCAACACTATGTTTTGTTCATCTTACATTATATGAACATTTGAGCATAGATAGTTTATATAATTTTGTCTGAACTTATCTAAATGTATAATACTTCTTTTGTTTCTTTTTAGTTGCTACACTTTTCTATTTTAGAAATTGTTAATTAGTTGCAACACTTTTCATTTTTGACATTTTTTTTCTCTCTATCTCTCTCCTACCCACGTGGGTCCCTCTTATTTTTCTCTTTATCTCTCTTCTCTTAAAAAATTGTCTAGGAGACCGTGAAAATAAAAGTGTAGCAACTAAAAAAATGGAGGAAGTATTTTGTTTGGATTTAAATGTATATTATGTTTGAACCTATTTACTTTTGAATTTTTTTAACTCACATCTAATACCTAAAAGCTGCACATAATATGTAATTGAGATAGAATATATATATTAATATATATTTATAAGGAAATGATTTTTATTTTTTCTAAACTTACTTTGTTTTAAATAAGATTAAACTAGTTAAAATAATATGATATAAATAGTATCTATTACATTTTAAGATTGATTACGTTGTATGACCAGTGACGCCAGTCAAATTGAAGATTTCAATTTAGAACCGAATCAAGTTCTATTCCAATCTAGCTACTTTGAGTTGATGAGTTGTCCGAAATTTAAGTCTTTTGAAATAATGGTGCCCATACTAGATTAAATTTTGAATTAGATTAGGTCGAATTGTTTGAATCCGGTCAATTTTAATGAGATTTAATCTAGAGTTTTGTTTGCGAATCCTTAAAACATTGATCGGATCAATAGTTCAATAGCTACAACTTTGATCGGATCAATAGTTCAATAGCTACCTTGACCGTGTCAAGCAAACGAGTAATGACACAACAAAATCCGAAAAAAACCTTAATAAGATGGAGTAGTATTACAAGTATCAATTATTAGAGGATATATTTTAATGGACAAACAACAAGGGAATACAGTTGGATTGAGAATATTGTGAATTGGATTTTTACAACTAAACACCGTATTGCCCCTATGCAGACGACGGCTAATTTGCTGGAAAGACGATAGCTTTGATGCATATTTTTTAATTTATTAATAAAAGAAAAATATGACACTTCGTTGAATTTAAGGCATATAATTTAAAGTGGCAGATATATTAACTAGATTATCTAAACAAAGTTAGGTACATTGAGTTTGATTGGAATCAACAACAACATCATGGATGCATGGACTTCAAATTTATTGTTGTTTGTTTTTAAGGTGCTTCCAACTTCTTTATTTCCCACAACTATACAAAGGTGTATATAGCAGGTTAGTTTTGTTTTCATTTTTTCTTTGCATGAGAATAATAGAGATTGAGGTACGAATGAAGTTGTAAAATAGTGGCATCACTCCTTATCTTAGATCCCTCATTTACATAATAAGTTTAGGATCAAAATTTATGGACCCGTTTGAGAAATTTCTCTCATATCATTCCTTAAAGTGGTACTCCATTTTTTTTTTAAGTGAAGGTATGGTACGTGTGAGTTTAGACTCATGTGCAAAACGGACAAAAATTTGTGGGGACCACTATCAGTGGAATTGGTTTTAAGTGCCACTGAGAGTGTATTTTGTATCACTAAAATTCCAATGGTATTATTTGACAGCTAAATGAGACATCTCTAAAATGACGCATGAAATGACTACATTGCCCCCTTGCGAGACATGGTTTTATTGTCCCACAACCCTTTGATTGGAAGCCCTCGGGATGTTTAATGATGTCAGTTTTTAACTCACCCTTAACTCTTGTAAAAGGCTTATATATGACATATAATTAAAAGATAGGAAAAAACAATTAAATTACAACAGTGGGAAATTAAATTTGAATGGAAAAATACACTTCAATAATCTCAACTTTGTCCGATTTACTTTGAATAATCCCACCTTTCGATTATTCTGCAATAATCCCAACTCTCACCTGCGCTTTTTTTCTTTAATCCCAAAAACCGGCAACGTTGTGAAAAGGTTTTTTTTTAAAATTATTTTTATTATGAAACGTGTTGAATGTAACATTCATTGCTCCAAAATATTAAAACAACTAAAAAAAAAACGGACAAACTCCCCCCTCCTTTCCGAGCCCCACTGGAAAACTCCCCCCCCCCCCTCCACCCCACTCCCCAACCCAAGCAGAAACCACCTCCTCCACCTCCATGTTTGGCCCAGGATTTTGACACCCTCCCCTTCTTTATTTCCTTTCTCTCTCCTTTCCCCACCCCAAATCTAGTGGTCCTCCACCACTAAAACACTAGTTTCGAGGGGTGGGGGAAAGATTTCTATTGGATTTTCTGTAGGGTTTCGTAGTGACCCACACTACGCGGAAAGAAACCCGCCAAGACCCGCCCCCATAATAAATGTAATTAACAAGCAAAACATAATTTAAAGCATAAGAAAGGATAAAAGATTATACCTTGGACGCGTGCTTCGCTCAACTATGAGCTCTTACTTGAACCCCGATAGTGCGAGGTCTCCGACGGGATCGTACCCTCGAACCCGGCCCGATCGTCCTAAGCCTCGAAGGTTAGTCAAGGCCCGGACAAAACAAATTAGAGTTTTACGAATTTCAAGGTATGCTCAACAATGGAGTTTCCTTTACTTTTCAACTCAAGTATGTTCTTTCCCAAATACCCAAGCTTTGGTATTTATAGGGAAATGAACCCTTGATCTTCATTTCCCAACCAATGTGGGAGAATGAATGATATTGATAATTAATTTAATTCTAAATTAAATAAATGATTAAATCAATCACAATGCAACAAGTGTCAAGGGGAGAGAGAGAGTTAAGTGAGGACCAAGAGAGGTGGGGGGGGGACCATTCCCTTGCTCCCCAAGGCTTTGCCCAAGGGTTGGTCCCCACCCTCACAAAACCGGCATAGGAGGCTGCTGGGCTGGCAGCCAGCTAGCATGCCAGCTAGCACTGCCAGCTAGCCCAAGGCAGCAAGCATCAGCCCAGCCAGCCATGCGCGCTGCATGTTGCTGTGCTGGGTGATGCCCACGCTGCGGCTTTCTAGGCGCTGGGCGCTGCTGGCTGCCTGGCTCTCCCCTTCGCATGCACACGCACACGCCCACCCAGCATGCGTGCTGCTAGCGAGCCACGCATGCTGGGCATCGCCTCTCGCATAGCTAGGATGCTCTAGCACTCGCACTCGCACACGCACACGCACATGGCGATGCCTGGCATGGTGTTGTTGTGCGAGGCTGTTGCTGCGACGGTGCGAGGCACACACGCACGCAAGGTCCTGCCAACGCGCATACCTACGCAAGGCCCAACATGCGTGCTGCTAGCAAGCCACGCATACTGGATGGCTTGATGCTTGGCGATGGTGCTAGGCTGCGTGCTGTGATGGTGCGACAAGCTTAGGCACAAGCACAAGCACAAGCACACGCACACACGCATAGGCCTAGCCATGCGATAGTGATGTGCTTGTGCTGCGATGATGCGACAGCCCCTAGGCACATGCACACGCACACGCACGCAAGTGCCTAGCACTGCGATGGTGTTGTGCTTGTGCGATGTGTTGCCTTGTGCGCCTAGCACACATGGTGCGCCTAGGCTTGCGATGAGCTAGCCTAGCCTAGCACTTCACATGGCTAGGCCAATGTGATGCTACGGCTATGCTCGCACTTGTTGCTTGTGATTTTGCGACGCTCGGTCTCGACGCCCTAGGCTTGATATCCGACGTCTTCGTTCGTAAAACTCCGACGACTCATTAAATCCTTCGGATTAATTCGTCGTCTCGGATCGGTTGTTCGATTGGGTTTGACCCGAATGGTTCAGTTAAGATTAAGCTGTAATATTAATTATACCTTAATATTACTGATCGGAAGCGGCTTCCACCTAGGCATTCCGATCACCCTCTATCAGAATAATATACTTTTTGGAAGGACACCATTCCTTTCATTTTCGAGGGGTGGGGGAAACGTTTCGGGTGGGGGAAAGGAAGATGGGTTGGGTTTCGGGGTGGGTTTAGGGTGGTTTCGGGGTATGGATTTGAGTTTTGGGCGGTTTTAGGGGTGAGGCTAGGGAGCGAGGGTGGGATGTTCTGGTCAAGTGGATGTGGAAGGAGGGTGGTTTGGGTGATGGGGCAAGGGGCAGGGGGAGGAGGAGGGGGTGGCTATCGGGGCTGCGGCTGGGTAAGGGGGTGATTTTTCTTTTTTATTATTTTTATTTTTAAATTTTGGACCACTAATATGTCGACACATGTCAAGTAACCTATAATAATAGGTTGTTGACCGGTTTGGGATTGTTAGAAGGAAATGTTGTAAAATAGGAGTGTATAGTACAAATAGTGAACGAAAGATGAACAAGAGAAAAGAAATAAATTTAGAAGAATTTCTGTGTGGCGTGATAAAAGTTACAAACTTGAAAACGAAATTCGGCATAACCGGGGTGCACAATTGTATTCGACAGTATTTTCCCTAAGGTTACATACACCACTCCCATACAAAGGCACTTTTGAGTGGGAGGTTGGAGACTAGTAAACTTATGTCCAAAGAGAGAATTGAATTTAGCTTAATGTGTTTGATGATAATATTTTTTCTGATTTTTGCAACCAAGCAATATATATTGTGTGAGGGAAAATCAAGAGTTAAGGAAGCTAAAAGACAAAAGACAAAGACTTAATCAGAAATTAAGGTGTCTTAACAACCCCTTAAACACCCCATTTATTGGGAGTTAAGAGGAGGGTTGCAAAGAAGAAGAGGAAGAGAAAGGGTTGGAGCTTCCAACGGTCA